TTCAGTGCGCAAATTATGTCTTTATTCATAAATAGATAATAAAATAATAATTATAGTTACTAAATATATGTATCAATAACAAATTTCGATATTTTAGTGCGCAAATTATGTCTTTATTCATTAATAGATAATAACATAATAATTATAGTTATTCAATATATGTATCAAATAACAAATATACAAAAAACAATCCAATTTTTGAGTAACATATTTGGAAATGTTTATACATATTTATTAAATGGTTAGAGATACTTCTCTAAACCAAATTGACTTTATCATTTTATTAATTTGTACCGTGTTATCTTTTCTCTAAATGCGTTTCTCAGTTGTGCATCGTAATCAATTAAGCTTTTAGCAGTATAAAAGATCGTAGCTTAATTTTTGTTGGAAATATATGAATTTTGATTTAATTAATTGATACATAAAATAAACTTTCGAAATAAATCTAGGAAAAGCGGAATAGGCACGGAAAAACTTCCACGTATGTACGTTTACGGTCAAAGTAAGAATCATTTATATGCGTATAAAATAAATAAAAATTATTTATGTTCAAAATATCGCTGCATGACTTCCACACACGATTCAGGTAAGAGCGTTACTGGAATAATCATTTTGATGCTCTACACGTTAAGTCGAGCATCTTTTCTATATCAATCAGTATGGTACCATTTGAAGAAACAACGACGCGAATGTTTTTAGCATCGCCGATCAAGGTAATTACAATGTCTAAATACGAATGCAGATTTTAATGTTTGTTTATTGAAGTATCTAAAGTGCAGCGTATATAAAGTGTTAGTCTATCGCTAAAAAATAAACTATTCCATTGAATCAGATGAGTATAATTAATATGTGAATATTATATTGTAAACACATTTTTACTTTTACCAATTAATATATTCATCCACCACAGATAGCACAGAATCCGTGTCGAATATGCTGTAACATTATTTTGATCAGTGTGTGATAATAATTAGAATGTTAAAATGAATTATAAAAGTTGTATTTATTAACATATCCATGCTATTTTCTGACTAGCAAAAGCAGAATTATTTTTAAACGCGTTGTCCCATTTTCTAGTCAAGTTTATTTAATTTTTTAGATTTTACTGTCGTGATTTACATGCCATTAGATATTGACACTTCTTCTTAAACAATGTTTATTATCGAACAGATGATTATTTGATTCATGTTCTCCCATATTTTTAGACGCGTTCTCTTATTCTTTATAAGTTTTAGTACCAAGAAAGGATAATTAATTTTTCGAAATTTTGCAGTTTTATTTAGATAATAAAACTTTAGTATATGATTCTTTTCAGTCGTTCTAATTTTCAAACCTATGACGATTTCATTAATGTATATTGAATTATTTAAATACGCGCTGTTCATTTTATTATGTTTTAATCACTTGCGGCCATAATTAAATATTTCTTATAATCATATAATTTACTGTTATAACTTACATTTTGTCATGTTTTTCAATTTTTGCACTATTAAAATATATATAAACAATGTATTTTTGCCTGATTCTAAAGTATTAAAAGTCGACGCTATGTTTCCATAGACGACACTCCTTGTTATTATGTATATTAAACGGAAGAATTTGTAAGTTGGTATGTTTTAATTTAACATTAACTAAATATTTAACTAAATATTGAAATAAAATATTTTTGGCTATCTTTATATCGTATTATAAATCGATAATTGATATTTTGTCATTTCTTATCATGATTTTTTCTCTGGAGAACCTTGTGTTTGTATAAATAATATATAATTAGGTCATTATACATTTACAACGTTTATTCAATTTTAATGACGAAATCCATATGTGCAATATATACATATATTTCGAAAGTTCCCGACAAAGAAACAATTTTCTACGCGTGCACGACAAATCTCAATAACTATTTTTGTTCAAAATACAATTTCACTCATGATTTACGCCTACAATTCAGATAAAAGCAGGCACTGAAAATATTGATGTATTTTGATGTTCTATGTGTGTTAAAATGTGCATTTTTCATTACCGACTATATATGCAACGATCGTTTTTATATTAATTATGAATTAAAACTGATATTGTATGATTAATTCTGACAAGCAATTTTAACGTAAGAACAATTTTTATAATCTCTCCTTCTGATAGAAGAGATATAATTATTGCTGGCTAATCATAAGACATTCAAATTTATAAACTGGCCCGGTTGCTGCGAAGTAACTCTCATGAAAACACACACATATATATATAAACAGTATTTAATGTTTATTTGGGAATACGTCCCGATAGACATATATTAAATTTATACACAGTACAGGCCAGTAAAGTTCGTATTAGTAAAGTCAAAGGCGATTATACATACACGCTTTAACGTCGTTCCGTTAAAAAGAAACGAGATTAATAGGAATTACAAAATAAATTCTTGTCACGATTATCTTTTAACAATAAGTATCTGTGCACATTTCTGATTCAAAAGAGCAAAATCTAAACACATTCGAATAAAATCGTCAAGTAAAAGAGGTAACAAGGAAAATCTAGAGTTAAACGAGTTATACGAACAAAAAATCAGCAGGTACGTACAAATAAGACACAGATTAAAAAGAATCCTGTAAGAAAAGATAAATTATGTGGAAATTATTTGTATTGCATATATTTTTTGCTATATTTAATATATATTGTAATATTTTTAAAACGTTTCCACAATTTTGATTAAAACAATAAAGTAAAAAGTACACTTTGTCTTAAATTTTATCAAGAAAATAATACATATAATGCGACAATATTCTGTTTAATATTTTATAATCTTTGAAAATTGACAATATCAAATATCGCTGAATAATTTGTTAAATAAAAATAGTAAATAGCTGATCAAGGAATAACCGTAAATTTTCAAAAAATAATTTAAAAATTATATAGAAAAATATAAACAAACAAATAGGTCGAACACATTTTTATATCTTCGAGGTTTTAATTGTTTTGAAGTATATCTTGCATTGTCATGTGTTAGTGACATAAATATATATATAAAGAATTTCTAGTGATATAAAAATCAGTAATTATAATATATTAGTGTATTAAAATTCACAAGATTAAGAATTTGATTTTCTCTACGCCTGTATTTGTTTGTTCATAAATGAGTCTTTTAATAGATATATAATTTCAAATAATAAAGTACATGAGTAAAGTTACATGATTATAAACTGTTTTTCGTCATTTTTTGCTTTTTGTTTATTTTTATAATAAATAAATATTTGTTCTATTTCTTTTCTTTATAAATACAACAATTAAAAATTTCTTTTATTTTAAAAAGAGACTCAGATCGATAAACTGAAATTTTTATATTTAGAACGAAAATATTTTACATAATACATAATGTTTTCCATTAATTTTATGATTATTTATTATATTGTAAATAATACATTAAAAGATGCTGGTAGATAAAAACGTTATTCGACCACATTATTCAACAAAAGTAAAATTCCTTTAAGAATTTTAACTTTAGTATTTAGAGAAAGTAGAACATATGTGTAGTTTACTACTTAAATACTTATTATAAATTATTAAAATTATGTTTTTTAAATTCTCAAACATGACTAGTTTGACGATTTATTTGTTTTTCTGTCCCGTTTTTAACTACATTAATATAAATATGTATTTCTAAATTAATCAAATTATTTAGTATTTTTATATGTTAACAGGCCATTACTAAGCTAACGTTCAAATGTTATTTGATATTGATTCATCACTAATTTCTACGTGATAACAATTATATTGTAAATTAGTCTTTTATTTATTTAACTAATTTTTATTTATAACATTCATCTGTGTCTGTTCTAATAACAAATGATTTTTGTATCACTATTTTTGTTTCTTTCTTTTTTCTATTAATATATGAATCATAATTTTTAACTCAGCAATTGATATATAGAATCAAAAAGTTTACTTTTATATTTATATCATTTTGGCATTATTAAATTCCTCCTTCTCGATTACAATTATTTAATATTATTAATTATTTTGGCATTTTAATAGTCTCTTTTTTATAAGAAATAATGAAAAAGGAGGTGCGAGGTGCCGTTTTTAAAAGTTTACCTAGCAGCAAATTTTATATTCATTTCATCAAAACATTTTTTTCCTAATAAATAAGAAATACATTTTTTTACAATATAATTGTTTTTATAAAACATAAACACCTATATCTTTGAAAATTATTTCTATGTGTAATACGTATAACTATTATTCATAAAAATTTATTCTAAATGTATAATTGTTTGGGCGAGCGTGGCTTAGCTCGATAATTACTTTTCGGCCCAAAATCGCGAATCGGGAGAGGATCGTTAAGACGGAATAGTTATTAGGTGTTATAATTATATTGTCTTTTACTGCGTTTATTCGGATTATCAAATACAGACTTTTACTCTCCACCGAGGAAAACCGTGTATCGCGAGCGCGAGTCAAAATCTCCCCTTCGAGGCCGCGCATTGTCTTCTTTCTCCTTTTTTTCCACGATCTTATTTTTATTTTTAGGTGATTAGCCTATCTATTATTTTGAAGAACTTTCGCTTTTTATTCTGTTCGGAAATCACAATCTACCTTCGTCATGCTAGACGCTCATTTATTTATTTATTATTTCGTGTCACCGGTCGCGATATCCTTAACTCTCGTCGCTTGTCATATATTTTTATTTCGTGTAAATTTTATTTTCTATATATTTTAATATGCTTGTGGCATTTATCGCCACAATTGTATACGTGAAAAATTTATCAAATAACGAAAATAAACAGTAAATTTAATATTATGACAATATGAATGTTTGTCTTTGATAGCATATCATCACATTTTATGTTCAATTTTTATAATATTTATTATTTAATAATAATTGATACAACGTCGTACATTACATTGTTGTAATGAAGCTTTGCATTAAAAAGATTGTTCAATAATACATATATAGTTATATCTTACTTTTTAATTTTAGATTTCAGGGTAACTACGATTAAACAACTGACCATAATTGCGCTAGAGTGTTGCAATATACTCGCCGAAATACACAGTAATCAAATAAATTTATAAATACTATTCTCAAAATAAATTTGTTGGTAAAAAAGAAAGTCACAAGCAGGACGAAGATATGCAAGACGGAGGTGCCGGTCCCTCCAGACAAATGGATTCCGATCCAACTGGACAGCCGGAAACGTATACATGCCATTTCTGTTTACGGACATTCACTTCTGAGATCTACTATTCCGATCATTTAGAGTTACACGACACCGGATATAATTATCCTTGCTGCCATTGCAACTTAAAATTCATTTCTGAGTGGGATATGCATGAACATGTAAAAAAGTATCACAAGAATGTTTGTTTAAAGTGTAATAAATGCGACAAAGTTTTTGTGAATTTAAACTCTCTTGAATACCACAAAAAAATGTGTCATTATGATGGCAAGAAAGCTTCTAAACCGAAACAGGATTGCGGGTCAGAGGGTAAGAGAAAGAGGCACGAATGGGACAACTCTGACGCGGACTCGGAAGGTTTGTCTCGGCAACTTTAATTTTCTGTGTAAAATTGATTACAAAATGAGTGGTTATTGTAATATATATTCTATTATATATTCTTGTTCTAATAATATGCAAATGACGGAATATTTAATTACAACGACAATTCTTTAAATAATTGAACAGCGCAAAGATTATAGAAAAAGAACATGATTTTATAATAAAACATAAAACCGCTACATGTATTAGCATTGTAGAAAATTGACATTTGAGACAATATTAAAAATATCTATTCATTTTTTTATATTAATGCTAAGTTTTCTTTACTTTTATTTGTGTGTAGTTCCTTTGTATTATAAAACTTCTCAAGAAGAACAGAAAAGTCAAAATAATGTCAATTTTACGTCATATTTACTAAAAATGACTTTTTATACTGACTTTCTTACCTGTTTAAGTTATAGAAAATGTGACATACGTTTCTCGATTGTGTAGATACAATGCTTATGAAGATAATTAAAGATTAACGTTTTTCATATTCAGATATCATTGTAATTCGCAGAAAAGTTGAGTGATTGTACATAGAGAAAAAAATGTTGATTCAATTGAACGTCGACGTCACGGGCTGCCACAAAAATATGCCAGTTGATTCATCCGTATTATTTTAATTCAATGACATAATTAATCAAATCGAGATTATCATGCATTTGTTTATTCTGCATATGTTTAAACAAAAATGTGTTTCTGGCAGCCCGTGACGTCGACGTTTATTGAATCAACATTTTTTTCTCAGTTTATTAAAAATTATATTATTAACTAAAATATTATTTTAAGCAGCTCACTTTTTAAAGTTGTATCTCAATTATTTTTAATACAAAATAATAATTTTTTAGATAATGAGCAGGAGGAACGTCCCGGTCCCTTCACACAAATGGCTTCCGGTTCAACTGGAGATAATATGCAAGGCGAAGGAGTCGGTTCTTCCAGACAAAGGGATCCGACAAAGGGACAAATGGCTTCCGATCCAACTGGACAGCCGAAAACGTATAAATGCAATCTCTGTGCACAGACATTCGATTCTTTGGAGATCCTTTGCAATCATTTATATTACCACAGCTTAGAGAATCATCCTTGCTACGTTTGCAAATTCAAATTTATTTCTAACTCAGAATTGCGTAAACATTGTATTCGGGTACATTCGGACGGTTCTTTAAAGTGTGATAAATGCGGAAAATTTTTCGCGCATTTTGATTACTTTGTACAGCACAAAAAAAGATGTCATAATAATGGCAAGAAAGATACTAAAACGAAACAGAAAAGTAAAGAGAAGAAATGCGACAATTCTGACGCGGACTCAAAAGGTTTGTCTCGACAACTTTAATTTTTAGTGTAAAATTAGCTAGAAAATGAGTTGTTTTTGTAATATATACATTATTATATATTCTTGTTCTAATAATATGCAAATGGCAGAAGATTTAATTACAACGACAATTCTTTAAATAATTAAACAGCGCAGCGATTATAAGAAAAGAACATGATTTTATTATAAAACATAAAACCGCTATAGACATGTATTAGCATTGTAGAAAATTGACATGTTAGACAATACGAAAAATATGTATTCATTCTTTTATATTAATGCTAATTTATTTTTACTTTTATTTGTGTGTAGTTCTCTTGTATTATAAAACTTCTCAAAAAAACAAAAAAGTCAAAATAATGTCAATTTTACGTCATATTGACTAAAAATGACTTTTTATACTGACATTCTATCTGTTTAATTTTTAAAAGATAATTAAAGGTTTCCATTTTCATATTCAGATATCATTGTAGTTTGCAGAAGTGTTGAGTGATCGTACACACAGAAAAAAAATGTTGATTCAATTGAACGTCAATGTCACGAGCTGCCATAAACATATGCAGTTGATTCATCCGTATTATTTTAATTCAATGACATAATTAATCAACTCGAGATGTCATGCATTTGTTTATACTGCATATGTTTAAACAAAAATATGTTTGTGGCAGCTCGTGACGTCGACGTTCAATTGTATCAACAACATATTTTTCTCAGTGTATTAAAAATTATATTGTTGACTAATATATTATTTTAAGCAGCTCACTTTTTAAAGTTGTATCTCAATTATTGTTAATACAAAATAATAATTTTTTTAGATGATAAGCAAGAGGAACGTCCCGGTCCCTCCAGACAAATGGCTTCCGGTTCAACTGGAGATAATATGCAAGGCGAAGGAGTCGGTTCTTCCAGACAAAGGGATCCGACAAAGGGACAAATGGCTTCCGATCCAACTGGACAGCCGAAAACGTATAAATGCAATCTCTGTGCACAGACATTCGATTCTTTGGAGATCCTTTGCAATCATTTATATTACCACAGCTTAGAGAATCATCCTTGCTACGTTTGCAACTTCAAATTTATTTCTAAGTCAGATTTGCGTAAACATTGGAATTCGGTACATCCGGATGTTCCTATAAAGTGTGAAAAATGCGGAAAATTTTTCGCACATTTTAAGTCCCTTGCACGGCACGAAAAAAGATTTCATAATAATGACAAGGAAGATTCTAAAACGAAACAGAAAAGTAAGAGGAAGAAATGCGACAATTCTGACGCGGACTCAAAAGGTTTGTTTCGGCAACTTTAATTTTTAGTGTAAAATTGGCTAGAAAATGAGTTGTTTTTGTAATATATACATTATTATATATTCTTGTTCTAATAATATGCAAATGACGGAAGATATAATTACAACGACAATTTTTTAAATAATTGAACAGCGCAGTGATTATAGGAAGAGAACATGATTTTATTATAAAACATAAACGCTAGACATGTATTAGCATTGTATAAAATTGACATTTCAGACAATATTAAAAATATCTATTCATTCTTTTATATTATTGCTAAGTTTTCTTTACTTTTATTTGTGAGTAGTTTCTTTGTATTATAAAACTTTCCAAGAAGAACAAAATAATCAAAATAATGTCAATTTTACGTCATATTTACTAAAAATGACTTTTTATACTGACTTTCTTAGTTGTTTAAGTTTTAGAAAACGTGATACGTTTTCGATTGTGACATACGTTTCTCGATTGTGTAGATACAATGCTTATTATTATAAAGATAATTAAAGATTAACGTTTTTCATATTCAGATATCATTGTAGTTCGCAGAAGAGTTGAGTGATCGTACACAGAGAAAAAATGTTGTTGATTCAATTGAACGTCGACGTCACGGGCTGCCACAAACATATGCAGTTATTTATCAGTATTTTGTTAATTCAATGACATAATTAATCAAATCAAGATGTCATGCTTTTGTTTATACTGCATATGTTTATAAAAAATCATATTTGTGGCAGCCCGTGACGGCCACGTTCAATTGTATCAACAACATTTTTTTCTCAGTCTATTAAAAATAATATTGTTGACTAAAATATTATTTTAAGCAGCTCACTTCTTAAAGTTGTATCTCAATTTTTTTTAATACAAAATAATAATATTTTTAGATGATAAGCAAGAGGAACGTCCCGGTCCCTCCACACAAATGGCTTCCGGTTCAACTGGAGATAATATGCAAGGCGAAGGTGTCGGTTCTTCCAGACAAAAGGATTCCGATCCAACTGGACAACAGAGGGACGCAAGTGCCGGTCCCTCTAGACATATAGATTCCGATCCAACTGGACAGCCGGAAACGGTCAAATGCAATATCTGTTTAAGAACTTTTCCGTCTGAGAACGTGCTTAAGAATCATTTAGAGTACCACAAAATTGCAAAGAATAAGTTTCCTTGCAAATCTTGCGGCTTAAGATTCATTTGTAATGGAGATTATAGAAATCATATTAATGACAAGAGTGGTCCTTTGAAGTGTAATATTTGCGGGAAATCTCTTGAGAATCTTCACTACCTTAACAAGCACAAAAAGAATTGTCATTAACACAAAGAGGTAATAACAAAAAGTCACAAGTAGAACGAAAATGCATTATTTCCAAATCAGCAATGTGATGAAGGCACCAGACAAGATATTAATTCCCCACAACAAAAAAGTGACGAATTCCCCGGAACTTTTTGAACATCTTCTCCTGTTCCGACCCTCGAGATTCCGAATTCAAATGATAATTGAAAGAGGATTTATCTCAACATCTTGATTTTATACTGCACATTAGATTGAGGAAAACAAAATTGAAGACGTTGAACCTATTGAATCCAAGAATAATCAGCAACGCGATGAAAGCTCCAGACAGGATATTTATGTCGCACTACAAGAAGGTGACGAATCTTTCGGATCTGTTTCAGGCCTCTCGCAATACTCCTCTCCTTCCGATAAATATGAAGATCCCGAACTTTTAATAAAGAATATTTCAAGTCTCCAACCTTAAAATCGACGCGCAAAAGCCGCAAGCATTGACAAGTAGAATCAAGTTGGTCGAAGGCGAAGAAGTTCTATAGCAAAGTATACATTGTTAAAGCATTTTTCACAGCACCAATATGACAAGAAATTGAAATGTAAAATTGCAACACGGATTTCAGTAAGCTCGACAAATGGTACAGATACAAATGTCAAAACGAAGAAAATATCGCCAAGGAGGAGCCGTTTAAATTTTGATGCAACAAAAATTTCAAACATGAAGAAAATTTTGAAATTCACCTACTCGATTCTATCAAATCCGAGCCATATTTAAATGCAAGTGACCAGTTTGATTCGAATTGAATTCCGGATAATTTTAATTTTCTTCAATAAGTAAAAATCAAAAATTATTCTTCTACTAATGATTTAATGTAATCGCATAATGCAACTTGAGAAATATATGGATGTAGATAAACAAACATATATATATATATATATATATATATATATATTTAAAATTTATATTTATATATATTTATTTATTTATATATAAATATAACTATATATATCTACAATTTTTACTTTTCAATACTTAAAATCGTCCTTTTTATTTTTGAATGTATCTCATTAACGTCTATCCTGCAATTTAAATATGATTTGTTTAAATATATATCTATATATATTTGAATAACATACTTTAAATATAGGATATCGTTAATGATGAGATTATGAAGATAATGAAAGATAACGTTTTTCATATTCAGATATCATTGTAATTCGCAGAAGAGTTGTATTAAAAATTAAATTGTTGACTAAAATGTTATTTTAAGCGGCTCACTTCTTAAAGTTGCATCTCAATTATTTTTAATACAAAATAATAATTTTTTATCATTGTGAACATCAAAACATTATCAATATTTTAATCAATTTGATGTCATTTTGACGAACTAAAATTTGACAATATTTTGACATAAATTTGACATCATTTTGACATTTCTGTTTTCCTTGGGTTACTCAAATCCAGGACATACGATATTTCAGTGCGCAAATTATGTCTTTATTCTCATTAATAGATAATAAAATAATAATTATAGTTATTAAATATATGTATCAATAACAAATTTTGATATTTCAGTGCGCAAATTATGTATTATTTATTTTAATAAAATAATAATTATAGTTATTATATATGTATGTACAAATTTTGATATTTCATACGCAAATAATTAAATTATTAATAGATAATAACATAATAATTAAGTTATTTAATTATTATCAATATACAAAAAATAATCCAATTTTTGAGTAACAATTTCATATACAAATTTTTAAATAATTAAAGATAATTCTTAAACTTAATTGACTTTAAAATTTTACTTAATTTGTACCATGTAATCTCCTCTCTTAATGCGTTTCTTATTTGTGCATCGTAATCAATTCATTCAGCAGTAAAAAGATTGTAGTTAAATTTTGTTGGAAATATATGAATTTTGAATTAATTAATTAATACATATAATAAACTTGAAAACAATCTAGGAAAATCGGAATAGGCACGGAAAATCTTTCACGTATGTACGTTTACGGTCAAAGTAAGAATCATTTATATGCGTATATAATAAATAAAAATTATTTATGTTCAAAATATCGCTGCATGACTTCCACACACGATTCAGGTAAGAGCGTTACTGGAATAATCATTTTGATGCTCTACACGTTAAGTCGAGCATCTTTTTTATATCAATCAGTATGGTACCATTTGAAGAAACAACGACGCGAATGTTTTTAGCATCGCCGATAAAGGTAATTACAATGTCTAAATACGAATGCAGATTTTAATGTTTGTTCTTTGAAGTATCTAAATTGCAGCGTATATAAAGTGTTAGTCTATCGCTAAAAATTAAACTATTCCATTGAATCCGATAAGTATAATTAATATGTGAATATTGTATACGTACTGCAATGTTGTTTTATTTCTTCCATTTGGTGCACTGTTCTAATTAAACAAACAAAATTTTTATTATTTTATTTTTTAAGGCTGTTTATAATTATTTATAATTGTCGAAAAATTTAAGAAACACTTTCGCAATGCATAGTTGCATAAATAATTTTTAAAATTTAAATTATTTACATTTAAAATGTATACCAATCATGCAAATATTCCAAATGTTAAAGAAACATTAAATCTTAAAAATATGTGATTAAATATCTGTTCAATAACAAATGTCATTTAGCAATTATGTCTTTATTCATTAATAGTCTAATCCAGTAATGCCAGAGTTCTTGGCGTTGTACCAATTGCAATCTACTATTAACAAAAATCGTATTTAATAATTAATTAGGAGAGGCTCAATTATGAGTTGTCACGTACGTAGTTCGACTTTCACGAAATAACATACTGACTTTTTTCCACATGGACGAATGGAATATCGAATGTAAAAACAAAACATATTGGATACAATTCGTAAAAAAACTACGAATCATCTCGAGTAATGTCGAGAACGTTTATCCAATGATATCTTCCAAGACATATCTTCCATTAACTCATCCTGATGATCTGAACGAAGTCGCGTCCAATATGGGCGCAAAGAAACATACATGCAAAGTTACGCATTACTTTTTTTTGAAAATATTACATATACTATATATACACTTACAACTCATATTTACAATGACACTTATACACACGTCTACACTTACACGGAAATTACTCAACTCGGCGGGGCTACCGTTATCACACGCTATTGAATCTGTGAACAGCAAGGAAAGACCAAGTCTGTTTCGCTGAAGCTATTAAACATTGAAGAAGAAGATGATGATCTGAACGAAGAATTGCAATCGCTAAAAAGTTATTCAACATAATACCCAACCAAAATATTTAAAAAAAATAAAAGTTTTGAAAGCAGGATGTATTTTCGAAATATAAATCAGAATAGATAAATATCAAAAGTACAACATTATTAATTAAATCAAAAATGACGGAGAATAGATGCAGCTACTTGCATGTAAAGAATAGGAGAATATCCTCTATCTGCTGCAGATGCACTTAAACATTTTTACTTTTACCAATTAATATATTCATCTACCACAGATAGCACAGAATCCGTGTCGATTATGCTGTAACATTAATTTGATCAGTGTGTGATATTAATTAGAATTTTAAAATAAATTATAACAGTTGTATTTATTAACATATCCATGCGAAATTTTCTGAGTAGTAACAGCAGAATTATTTTTAAACGCGTTGTTCCATTTTCTATTCAGGTTTATTTAATTTTTTATATTTTACTGTCGTGATTTACATGCTATTAGATATTGACAATTCTTCTTAAACAATGTTTATTATCGAACAGATGATTATTTGATTCATGTTCTCTCATATTTTTGGACGCGTTCTCTTACTCTTTATAAGTTTTAGTACCAAATAGGGATAATTAATTTTTCGAAATCTTGCAGTTTTTATTTAGATAATAAAACTTTAGTATATGATTCTTTTCAGTCTTTCTTATCTTCAAACCTATGACGATTTCATTAATGTATATCGAATTATTTAAATACGCGCTGTTCATTTTATTATGTTTTAATCACTTGCGGCCATAATTAAATATTTCTTATAATGATATAATTTACTGCTATAACTTACATTTTGTCATGTTTTTTAATTTTTGCATTATTAAAATATATATAAACAATGTATTTTTGCCTGATTCTAAAGTATTAATAGTCGACGTTATGTTTTCGTAGACGACACTTTTTGTTATTATGTATATTAAACGGAAGAATATGTAAGTTGGTATGTTTTTTTTCAAATTAATTTGCAGATAATGTACTATTTAAATATTGAAATAAAATATTTTTGGCTATCTTTATATCGTATTATAAATCGATAATTGATATTTTGTCATTTCTTATCATGACTTTTTCCCTGGAGAACCTTGTGTTTGTATAAATAATATATAATTAGGTCATTATACATTTACAACGTTTATTCAATTTTAATGACAAAATCCATATGTGCAATATATACATATATTTCGAAAGTTCCCGACAAAGAAACAATTTTCTACGCGTGCACGACAAATCTCAATAACTATTTTTGTTCAAAATACAGTCTTACTCATGATTTACGCTTACAATTCAGATAAGAGCAGGTACTGAAAATATTGTCGTATTTCGATGTTCTATGCGCGTTAAAATGTGCATCTTTCATTACCGACTATATATGCAACTATCGTTTTTATATTAAATAAGAATTAAAACTGATATTGTATGATTAATTCTGACAAGCAATTTTAACGTAAGAACAATTTTAACGTAAGAACAATTTTTACAATCTCTCCTTTTGATAGAAGAGACATAATTATCGCTGGCTAATCATAAGACATTCAAATTTATAAACTGGCCCGGCTGCTGCGAAGTAACTCTCATGAAAACACACACATATATATAAACAGTATTTAATGTTTATTTGGGAATACGTCCCGATAAGACATATATTAAATTTATACACAGTACAGACCAGTAAAGTTCGTATTAGTAAAATCAAAGGCGATTATACATACACGCTTTAACGTCGTTCCGTTGAAAAGAAACGAGATTAATAGGAATTACAAAATAAATTCTTGTCACGATTATCTTTTAACAATAAGTATCTGTGCACATTTCTGATTCAAAACAGCAAAATCTAAACACATTTTAATAAAATCTTCAAGTGAAAGAAGTAACAAGGAAAATCTAGAGTTAAACGAGTTATACGAACAAAAAATCAGCAGGTACGTACAAATAAGACACAGATTAAAAAGAATCCTGTGAGAAAAGATAAATTATGCAGAAATTATCTGTATTACATATATTTTTTGCTATATATATATATATATATATATATATATATATATATTTTAAAATTTTTCCACAATTTTGATTAAAACAATAAAGTAAAAAGTACACTTTGTCTTAAATTTTATCAAGAAAATAATACATATAATGCGACAATATTCTGTTTAATATTTTATAATCTTTGAAAATTGACAATATCAAATATCGCTGATTAATTTGTTAAATAAAAATAGTAAATAGCTAATCAAGGAATAACCGTAAATTATTCAAAAAATAATTTAAAAATTATTAGAAAAATATAAACAAACAAATAGGTCGAACACATTATTATATCTTCGAGGTCTTAATTGTTTTGAAGTATATCTTGCATTGTCATGTGTTAGTGACATAAATATATATATAAAGAATTTCTAGTGATATAAAAATCAGTAATTATAATATATTAGTGTATTAAAATTCACAAAATTAAGAATTTGATTTTCTCTACGCCTGTATTTGTTTGTTCATATAAATGAGTCTTTTAATAGATATATAATTTCAAATAATAAAGTACATGAGTAAAGATACATGATTATAAACGGTTTTTCGTCATTTCTTGCTTTTTGTTTATTTTTTATAATAAATAAATATTTGTTCTATTTCTTTTCTTTATAAATACAACAATTAGAAATTTCTTTTATTTCAAAAAGAGACTCAGATCGTTAAACTAAAATTTTTATATTTAGAACGAAAATATTTTACATAATACATAATGTTTTCCATTAATTTTATGATTATTTATTATATTGTAAATAATACATTAAAAGATGCCGGTAGATAAAAACGTTATTCGACCACATTATTCAACAAAAGAAAAATTCCTTTAAGAATTTTAACTTTAGTATTTAGAGAAAGTAAAACATATATGTAGTTTACTACTTAAATACTTATTATAAATTATTAAAATTATGTTTTTTAAATTCTCAAACATGACTAGTTTGACGATTTATTTGTTTTTCTGTCTCGTTTTTAACTACATTAATATAAATATGTATTTCTAAATTAATCAAATTATTTAGTATTTTTATATGTTAACAGGCCATTACTAAGCTAACGTTCAAATGTAATTTGATATTGATTCATCACTAATTTCTACGTGATAACAATTATATTGTAAATTGGTCTTTTATTTATTTAACTAATTTTTACTTATAACATTCATCTGTGTCTGTTCTGATAACAAATGATTTTTGTATCACTATTTTTGTTTCTTTCTTTTTTCTACTAATATATGAATCTTAATTTTTAACTCAGTAATTGATATATAAAATCAAAAAGTTTACTTTTATATTTATATCATTTTGACATTATTAAATTCCTCTTTTTCGATTACAATTATTTTATATTATTAATTATTTTGGCATTTTAATAGTCTTTTTTTTATAAGAAATAATGAAAAAGGAGGTGCGAGGTGCCGTTTTTAAAAGTTTACCTTGCAGCAAATTTTATATTTATTTCATCAAAACATTTTTTTTTAATAAATAAGAAATACATTTTTTTACAATATAATTGTTTTTATAAAACATAAACACCTATATCTTTGAAAATTATTTCTATGTGTAATACGTATAACTATTATTCATAAAAATTTATTCTAAATGTATAATTGTATATGTGAAAAATTTATCAAATAACGAAAATAAACAGTAAATTTAATATTATGACAATATGAATGTTTGTCTTTGATAGCATATTATCTTATTTTATGTTCAATTTGTATAATATTTATTATTTAATAATAATTGATACAACGTCATACATTACATTGTTGTAATGAAGCTTTGCATTAAAAAGATTGTTCAATAATACATATATAATTGTATCTTACTTTTTTATTTTAGATTTCAGGTTAACCACGATTAAACAACTGAACATAATTGCTCTAGAGTGTTGCAATATACTCGCCGGAAAGCACAGTAATCAAATAAATTTATAAATACTATTCTCAAAATAAATTTGTTGGTAAAAAAGAAAGTCACAAGCAGGACGAAGATATGCAAGACGGAGGTGCCGATCCCTCCAGACAAATGGATTCCGATCCAACTGGACTGCCGAAAAATTATAAATGCCATTTCTGTGGAAAGACATTCTATTTTAAAGGCATTTTTGAAAATCATTTATTGTCCCACGGCACCGGATCAGAGCGTAAGAGAAAGTATTGTAATATATACATTATTGTATATTCTTGTTCTAATAATATGCAAATAACGGAAGATTTAATTACAACGACAATTCTATAAATAATTGAACAGCGCAACGATTATAAGAAGAGAACATGATTTTATTATAAAACATAAAACCGCCAGACATGTATTAGCATTGTAGAAAATTGACATGTTAGACAATACTAAAAATATGTATTCATTATTTTATATTAGTGCTAATTTATTTCTACTTTTATTTGTGTGTAGTTCCTTTGTATTATAAAATTTCTCAAGAAAAACAAAAAAGTCAAAATAATGTCAATTTTACGTCATATTTACTAAAAATGACTTTTTATACTGACTTTCTTACCTGTTTAAGTTTTAGAAAATGTGACATATGTTTCTCGATTGTGTAGATACAATGCTTATTATTATGAAGATAATTAAAGATTAACATTTTTCATATTCAGATATCATTGTAGTTCGCAGAAGAGTTGAGTGATCGTACACAGAGAAAAAATGTTGTTGATTCAATTGAACGTCGACGTCACGGGCTGCCACAAAAATATGCCAGTTGATTCATCCGTATTATGTTAATTCAATGACATAATTAATCAAATCGAGATGTCATGCATTTGTTTATACTGCATACGTGTAAACAAAAATGTGTTTCTGGCAGCTTGTGACGTCGACGTTTATTGAATCAACAACATTTTTTTCTCAGTTTATTAAAAATTATATTATTAACTAAAATATTATTTTAAGCAGCTCACTTCTTAAAGTTGTATCTCAATTATTATTAATACGAAATAATAATTTCTTTAGATGATATGCCAGAGGAACGTTCCGACCCCTCCAGGCAAATGGCTTCCGGTTCAACTGGAGATAATATGCAAGGCGAAGGTGTCGGTTCTTCTAGACAAAGAGATTCCAATCCAACTGGACAGCCGGAAACGTATAAATGCGATTTCTGTGCACAGACATTCGATTCTTCGGAAATCCTTTGCAATCATTTATATTACCACAACTTAGAGAATCATCCTTGCTACGTTTGCGAATTAAAATTTATTTCTTACTCAGAATTGCGTAAACATTGTATTCTGGTACATTCGGACGGTTCTTTAAAGTGTGATAAATGCGGAAAATTTTTCGCGCAATTTGATTATCTTATACGGCACAAAAAAAGATGTCATAATAATGGCAAGTATTTTTGTAATATATACATTATTATATATTCTTGTTCTAATAATATGCAAATGACGGAAGATATAATTACAACGACAATTTTTTAAATAATTGAACAGCGCAGTGATTATAAGAAGAGAACATGATTTTATTATAAAACATAAACGCTAGACATGTATTAGCATTGTATAAAATTGACATTTCAGACAATATTAAAAATATCTATTCATTCTTTTATATTAATGCTAAGTTTTCTTTACTTTTATTTGTGTGTAGTTTCTTTGTATTATAAAACTTTCCAAGAAGAACATAAAAATCAAAATAATGTCAATTTTACGTCATATTTACTAAAAATGACTTTTTATACTGACTTTCTTACCTGTTTAAGTTTTAGAAAACGTTACATACGTTTCTCGATTGTGTCGATACAATGCTTATTATTATGAAGATAATTAAAGATTAACGTTTTTCATATTCAGATATCATTGTAGTTCGCAGAAGAGTTGAGTGATCGTACACAGAAAAAAAATGTTGTTGATTCAATTGAACGTCGATGTCACGAGCTGCCATAAACATATGCAGTTGATTCATCAGTATTTTGTTAATTCAATGACAAAATTAATCAAATCAAGATTTCATGCTTTTGTTTATCCTGCATATGTTTAAACAAAAATATGTTTGTGGCAGCCCGTGACGTCGACGTTCAATTGAATCAATAACATTTTGTTTCAATGTATTAAAAATTTCATTGTTGACTAAAATATTATTTTAAGCAGCTCACTTTTTAAAGTTGTATCTCAATTATTTTTAATACAAAATAATAATTTTTTTAGATAATGAGCAAGAGGAACGTCCCGGTCCCTCCAGACAAATGGCTTCTGATTCAATTGGAGATAATATGCAAGGCGAAGGTGTCGGTTCTTCTAGACAAAGGGATTCCGATCCAACTGAACAACCGGACAAGTATGTATGCAATCTCTGGTTAAGACTATTCTGTTCTTTGGACGTGCTTCATAATCATTTAAAGGTCCACATGAATTATCTTTGCAACCATTGCGACCTATAATATTCATTTGTAAATCCCATTTCAATGCACATACGCGTTCGACACGTAATGTTAATCGTTTCAAGTGTGATATATGCAATTCAACTTTTTATGATCTCTTCGACTTTGAATGGCAAAAAAAACACCATAGTGTAGGCAAAGAATCCGTAACAACGAAAGAACAGAAGTTGAAACAAAATAAAAGGAAACTCGAATTCGAATCCTTAAAAATGAAGGAACAGGAGTTAAAGCGTAAGAAAAAGAAGCTCGGATCCAAAATCTCTGACGCGGACTCGAAAGGTTTGTCTCAGCAACTTTAATTTTCTGTGTAAAATTGGCTACAAAATGAGTGGTTTTTGTAATATATACATTATTGTATATTCTTGTTCTAATAATATGCAAATGACGAAAGATTTAATTACAACGACAATTCTTTAAATAATTGAACAGCGCAACGATTATAAGAAGAGAACATGATTTTATTATAAAACATAAAACCGCTACATGTATTAGCATTGTAGAAAATTGACATGTTAGACAATACTAAAAATATGTATTCATTATTTTATATTAGTGCTAATTTATTTCTACTTTTATTTGTGTGTAGTTCCTTTGTATTATAAAACTTCTCAAGAAAAACAAAAAAGTCAAAATAATGTCAATTTTACGTCATATTGACTAAAAATGACTTTTTATACTGACATTCTATCTGTATAATTTTTAAAAGATAATTAAAGATTTCCATTTTCATATTCAGATATCATTGTAGTTTGCAGAAGTGTTGAGTGATCGTACACACAGAAAAAAAATGTTGATTCAATTGAACGTCGATGTCACGGGCTGCCATAAACATATGCAGTTGATTCATCAGTATTTTGTTAATTCAATGACAAAATTAATCAAATCAAGATTCATGCTTTTGTTTATACTGCATATGTTTAAAAAAAATGTTTGTGGCAGCCCGTGACGTCGACGTTCAATTGAATCAACAACATTTTTTTCTCAGTTATTAAAAATTATATTGTTGACTAAAATATTATTTTAAGCAGCTCACTTCTTAAAGTTGTATCTCAATTATTTTTAATACAAAATAATAATTTTTTAGATGATAAGCAAGAGGAACGTCCCGGTCCCTCCAGACAAATGGCTTCCGGTTCAACTGGAGATAATATGCAAGGCGAAGGTGTCGGTTCTTCTAGACAAAGAGATTCCAATCCAACTGGACAGCCGGAAACGTATAAATGCGATTCTGTGCACAGACATTCGATTCTTGGACATCCTTTGCAATCATTTATATTACCACAGCTTAGAGAATCATCCTTGCTACGTTTGCGAATTAAATTTATTTCTTACTCAGAATTGCGTAAACATTACATTCGGGTACATTCGGACGGTTCTTTAAAGTGTGATAAATGCGGAAAATTTTTCGCGAAATTTGATTATTTTGAACGGCACAAAAAAGATGTCATAATAATGGCAAGTATTTTTGTAATATATACATTATTATATATTCTTGTTCTAATAATATGCAAATGACGGAAGATATAATTACAACGACAATTTTTTAAATAATTGAACAGCGCATGATTATAAGAAGAGAACATGATTTTATTATAAAACATAAACGCTAGACATGTATTAGCATTGTATAAAATTGACATTTCAGACAATATTAAAAATATCTATTCATTCTTTTATATTAATGCTAAGTTTTCTTTACTTTTATTTGTGTGTAGTTCCTTTGTATTATAAAACTTTCCAAGAAGAACAAAATAATCAAAATAATGTCAATTTTACGTCATATTTACTAAAAATGACTTTTTATACTGACTTCTTATCTGTTTAAGTTTTAGAAAAGACATAATTGTGTTTGCTTATTATTTGAAATAATTAAAGATTAACGTTTTTCATATTCAGATATCATTGTTTCGCAGAAGAGTTGAGTGATCGTACACAGAGAAAAAATGTTGTTGATTCAATTGAACGTCGACGTCACACTGCCACAAACATATGCAGTTGATTTATCAGTATTTTGTTAATTCAATGACATAATTAATCAAATCAAGATTTCATGCTTTTGTTTATACTGCATATGTTTAAAAAAAATATTTGTGGCAGCCCGTGACGGCCACGTTCAATTGTATCAACAACATTTTTTTCTCAGTCTATTAAAAATAATATTGTTGACTAAAATATTATTTTAAGCAGCTCACTTCTTAAAGTTGTATCTCAATTTTTTTAATACAAAATAATAATTTTTTTAGATGATAAGCAAGAGGAACGTCCCGGTCCCTCTACACAAATGGCTTCCGGTTCAACTGGAGATAATATGCAAGGCGAACTCCAGGGACAAAGGATTCCGATCCAACTGGACAGCCGGAAACGGTCGAATGCAATATCTGTTTAAGAACTTTTCCGTCTGAGAACGTGCTTAAGAATCATTTAGAGTACCACAAAATTGCAAAGAATAAGTTTCCTTGCAAATTTTGCGGCTTAAGATTCATTTGTGATGGAGATTATAGAAATCATATTAATGACAAGACTGGTCCTTTGAAGTGTAATATTTGCGGGAAATCTCTTGAGAATCTTCACTACCTTAACAAGCACAAAAAGAAATTTCATTAACACAAAGAGGTAATAACAAAAAGTCACAAGTAGAACGAAAATGCATTATTTCCAAATCAGCAATGTGATGAAGGCACCAGACAAGATATTAATTCCCCACAACAAAAAAGTGACGAATTCCCCGGAACTTTTTTGAACATCTTCTCCTGTTCCGACCCTCGAGATTCCGAATTCAAATGATAATTGAAAGAGGATTTATCTCAACATCTTGATTTTATACTGCACATTAGATTGAGGAAAACAAAATTGAAGACGTTGAACCTATTGAATCCAAGAATAATCAGCAACGCGATGAAAGCTCCAGACAGGATATTTATGTCGCACTACAAGAAGGTGACGAATCTTTCGGATCTGTTTCAGGCCTCTCGCAATACTCCTCTCCTTCCGATAAATATGAAGATCCCGAACTTTTAATAAAGAATATTTCAAGTCTCCAACCTTAAAATCGACGCGCAAAAGCCGCAAGCATTGACAAGTAGAATCAAGTTGGTCGAAGGCGAAGAAGTTCTATAGCAAAGTATACATTGTTAAAGCATTTTTCACAGCACCAATATGACAAGAAATTGAAATGTAAAATTGCAACACGGATTTCAGTAAGCTCGACAAATGGTACAGATACAAATGTCAAAACGAAGAAAATATCGCCAAGGAGGAGCCGTTTAAATTTTGATGCAACAAAAATTTCAAACATGAAGAAAATTTTGAAATTCACCTACTCGATTCTATCAAATCCGAGCCATATTTAAATGCAAGTGACCAGTTTGATTCGAATTGAATTCCGGATAATTTTAATTTTCTTCAATAAGTAAAAATCAAAAATTATTCTTCTACTAATGATTTAATGTAATCGCATAATGCAACTTGAGAAATATATGGATGTAGATAAACAAACATATATATATATATATATATATATATATATATTTAAAATTTATATTTATATATAAATTTATATTTATTTATATATAAATATAACTATATATGTCTACAATTTTTACTTTTCAATACTTAAAATCGTCCTTTTTATTTTTGAATGTATCTCATTAACGTCTATCCTGCAATTTAAATATGATTTGTTTAAATATATATCTATATATATTTGAATAACATACTTTAAATATAGGATATCGTTAATGATGAGATTATGAAGATAATGAAAGATAACGTTTTTCATATTCAGATATCATTGTAATTCGCAGAAGAGTTGTATTAAAAATTAAATTGTTGACTAAAATGTTATTTTAAGCGGCTCACTTCTTAAAGTTGCATCTCAATTATTTTTAATACAAAATAATAATTTTTTATCATTGTGAACATCAAAACATTATCAATATTTTATTCAATTTGATGTCATTTTGACGAACTAAAATTTGACAATATTTTGACATAAATTTGACATCATTTTGACATTTCTGTTTTCCTTGGGTTACTCAAATCCAGGACATACGATATTTCAGTGCGCAAATTATGTCTTTATTCATTAATAGATAA